AGCAGCATTGGGCTTGAAATTCAGACGGAATAGACAAAATTTGAGTTTCAGATGCCTTCATTCATGGAAAGTCCTCACCGCCAAAGGCTCAACATAAACAACTGTTCTCTACTTATTTTGCTGGAGATGTGTCATGCCAATGTTACTCTGAAGCAAACCAAATCCTTGACTGTTTGCAGACTTCCTGAAGGCCAACAAACCCTGACGTGAAGCTGGAGGTGTGCCTCAAATGGTCATCAATCGTTGTTGCGGTTTACTGTGGCTGCTCATTACTGGGCAAGTCATATTCTTTGCCCGAAACCGACTAGGATCCTGACAATGGACCTGATCCGGATGTCCGTGATGTCCTTTCTGAACGTCACAGATGCAATGCGGTTGCAACAAAATGTACATGCAAGTTCAACCCCGGCCGCGGGCTGCACGAATTCAATCAGGATGATGTCGAAGGAGTTTTTTGAAGCATCCTGATCCTTCGAGCTTCGAACCACTGGACAAGCTTTTCAACGGCGCCTCCCGCCAGGGCTCGGCAGTGGGCTGCGGGGCTGATGCAGCGGATTTGACCACGGGCAACAGCACCCTCGGCATACCATTTTTGTTTTGGAGGGGGAATGGTGGGCTCGATGTTCGCAGAAGTGACCACGTGGTGATCGGATGTTTGTTTTTTTCCAGTGGGTGGGTTTCTGGTTCGGGAGCGGTTTCAGATGATCAAACATGGTTTAGCTCACTTTCGATTGCGGAATCTGTGGGCAGTCAGAACTTTGATACATTTGTGCTGTATAACTGTATAACTTTATTGGAACAGGTATCATTCAAGTTCTGAAAAAGGATGTGTGGCTTCGACTTCCCTCTAACAGGCAAACCAAAGTCTGTGCGACACTGCCAGGAAAGTTTGCCCTCACACTTGTGGTACAATTTCAAGCGCTCCTTAATGAAACCAGCTTGATATCTCTGGAAGTCATGTCAGATCTCGGCATCCCTCTCTGTGGTGCAGAATAGCAGGTGGCTGCTGCTCTGAGAGTACACCATGCGGTGTCGATGAAGGCGGCTGTGTGAAGATTGGACCAGAAGACAGTTTGTCCCGCGTCTCCTGGCTTTGGGACCAGTCTCATCCAGCGAGTGGATTGAGCCTCGTGATACTTCATCCAATAGCTCTTTGATCGCTCAGTTTTGATCAGCTAGAGAAATCCATCCAGATTCTTCAGCTTTTGGGTTGTGACCCAACAGGTGTGTGCTCCTCCAGCTCTCGCTGTGTGGGAAAGCCCAGAAACGGTGAAGATCAGAAGCTCATGAGCTCGCCAGTCAGTTCGGGGAACAGTCGGTTGCTGACTGGCCACCACAGCTTCAGTAGCTTCACCAGCGTCAATTTGCTACATTTTTCCCAGGCTGGAAATCTGAGATGTGTCAGCTATGCCTGCAGCCGGGATCTCGGTGAGAGCTGTTGCAGAGATTCTGATCCTCGATGTATGACATCCACGATACACAACTGAGGTTGGACCAGCACCGATGCAAACATGCAGGATGGCTGAAACCATTGCGAGTCCAGGGCAATAGTGGGCCCTGGAGATGAGGGGATGAGGGCCCTAGCCATTGAAATTCAAAGGTGTCCATTGAAGTGTGGATCCTGTAGAGCACTGCCACGTCTCAAGCCACAGCTGCGAGGACAGCTGCTGCGTCCTAGAGGGCTCGGACTCGGGCTACACCACACAGGAGAACATTGGGACCGGGGCGCAGTCCACGTCAGTCGTCATCGCAGTCCATTCGCGAAGAGTTTGGACTGAACCGATTGTGACTTTGAACCGATGACTGGCGATGTTCCGGTGCAGAAGGAGTGCATTTTCGGTGAAAGATTTTCAGAGTAGCCCCAGATTCTCACAGCTCGAGGCTACTCTGGGGGAACTCGTGGCGGAAGTCAAACCAAATCCAAGTGGGAGAGTTTCGATAGGACAAGGAGCAGTCCAAGAGGCTCATGTTTCAGGGGAGGCCCTTCGTCCTGCATCACATATCCCCTCCAAACTAGTGGGCAATTGGATTGCCCAAGATAAGATGCCACCTAGGCTTCTAAGCTCACATTCGCGTTGACTGCAGTTCAGGACCCTTTGTGGTCTATGGGTGATCGAGTTTATGTCCGTGTTGAACAGCTCGAAGCCTAGCCAGCCTGGGCAGTCTCACAAGCAATCATGCGATTGACACTGGTCAGGAGAATCACAAGTTGTGCAGCGAATCTACTAGTCTATATACCTCAAAATGTGTACAACATTGATGGCAGGTTGCATGTATGTTTGTATAGAAGTCTCTGCCTCACCATGGAGAAAACATTTTAGCTCGTGGCACTTGCTGTTCTGTTTACTGTCAAGGTTGTCCAGCAGCGCAGAAGCTGTTCACTCCTCAGTCATGATGTGGAGTATCACCCAGACACATGACGTTCATGGCGCTTCTACGCTGACCTGATTCTAGAGCCTCCATTCGTTCAAAAAGGTCCTCAATGATGCTCAATGTTGCTCTTGATTGTTAGGCCACACCAACAAAACACAATACCAAAAACTGATACCCAAGACCTTCTCAGTGACCTCTTCAGGATTGGTAAGTGACCTTTTCAAGGCCATTTCGTGACCTCATTCTGGGATCTCAAAAGGTCACTGGGAAGGTCCTGGACCTGATACTATCCGTTTAATGATTGTATATTGTCAAACCTTTGAATCACCGCTTGATGTTGGGGCACTAATTTCTGCAATGACTTGTGAATGTGAAGCCTAAGAAGTTGATTTCATAGGAGAAAGGACTGAGAATCATTGGTCGTGCAGAAGTCTGCAGTCAAGACAGCCTGGTCTACTTCCTGAGTACAGCAAAAAACAACTCACTGACAATGCATTCAGACCATGTGGGGGCGTGCATTCAAACATGTGGAGGTGCACATTCATAATAAAATCCAAGGTTCTTGGTGACGAGGACAAATACTTGAAATGGCTTTGGTGATACACCAGCAAGGCACATTGAGGAAGGGTATAGATAGCTTTGAACATCTTTGAACTCCTTTTGATCCATGCTGACAATGCCTAGAAACACAGAACTCTACCCCACTTGACGCTTTTGGGTTGGGCTCAAGTACCAAGCGTGCGCCGACATGTTCGCCTTTCTCACACGGTGTCACCCTGTCGCCGAGGCCATCACCTCAGACCCCTCCGGAGGTGCTGTCAATGTCTCTTTCGCTGGAGTGCTCCCTCTGAACTGAGAAGAATGCAGATTGGAGTGGTGAAAACCACACGAAAGGAGCGTATGGCGTATGGTTTTTGACCTGGTTGCCTGGTGGCTTCTGATGGCTTGCACAAGTGCAAAAATCTCATTTTTCAGATCCCTTGTGGTGCGAGTGTTGCTGCCGGCAGGTACCATGCATCATCGATTCCGTACGCAGCTTCAGTGGTGAGGTGCGGCCACCGCACCGAATCTCCCTTCTCCATGTGACAAGAATTGAAGACTTGGATCAAACGTAGTAACCCTAGACGACTAGTGTGTCTTCCCGGTCGGGGAACAGCTCTCCCTCCGTGTTCCATATCCATCCTACTTTTGAGGGTTGAGGCAACTCGTTGAAGGATCTTCTTGTATTCTGTCAGCACCTTTGCCGGATCCCTCACATAGCCAGCCATAGGGCAGCCCCAAGTGTCCTCCTCTTGGAGAAAATAGCCAACAAGTCAACCCATACAATTTCAGTTTTACTCCAATTGAACTTCAAGGCCTTTTCGTCCGGCTGCGCCCATTGCTTTTGCTCAGTCCTGGATCGATCTCGGCTGCTTCTTGGGAGACGTTCCTGGAGGCCGCCACCGAAAGCCCATCCAAGTTGTGTCTCAAGAACAGACAGACTTGTATTGACTTCCCATGTTTAAAGGATATTCACTCTTTGACCTCGTTTTGCGATTTTACGGAAGCCAACCATCATGTACTCTGCAAGAGAACACGGTTGATCCGAACCACGTATTGCGGCGTTCTCGGTCTCGACCGAGGTATTGCGGCGTTCCCGAAAGTTGAGACGGAGACAGGTCAGGGTATCGGAGCCTGATGGCATCGGAGAGCTGCAAATATGATTGAAATTGATCGAAATGGTAAGCCCTCAAAATGAAGGGACCATATATTATATAACTTGGAAAAAGCATGGTTGTTGGAGGATAAGCAACTATGAACGAAATGTTGAGCGGGTATGTCACCAATATCCAACCCGAAAAGAAGAATCTGTGTGGTCGTGGCTACTCCTCCAGAGGGTTGATTGAAATCATCATGAAAAGCACCAGCCGGAACAACTAAAACAGCGCCGTTCCCATGACAACCGACTTGTGTAGGCATTAGTATGTGGAAGTTAAGTTCGAACATCCTCCCAGCTCACAAGCAAGTTGCCTTATGAATGGATTGTATCCATTCTGCATACACTGTCGCGCATCGGCAATCGCACCAGCCGTCACAGGCGTTTTGGCAAGCAGGTACATCAAAGTGGGTGTGTAACTTCATGTGTTTCTCCTGCTTTCAAGTTTTCAAGAGCCGTTGTACATGAAACAGCATGCCGAGAACGAGCTCCTCCTTTCACCTTTGTGCTTCAATGTTCCTGGTCTCGAGTGAGAGATCGTCAGAGGCATCCAGATCCAGGAGTCCAGGTGGTCTTGACCTGAGCATAGGATGAGTTTTCAAATTAAAAAAGATCGGTGCTGTTAGGTCATGCCTTGCATGGAACTGACACATGTTGTTTGCGTTGATGTTATGATGGTTTGCTTTCTCCAGATTGGGATCTAAACTCCAGTTTGCTATGTATTATAGCTGCTTTGCTGGCACTTCTCTTGCGGCCAATGCTTTTTGAGGGCACCGCTCCGTTTCTATCCTGAGACTTAAGACTCCCCACAAATGAAAAAGCATATTCAGGATTAATGGCCAGTGATGGTGATATACCGAGGCTCTTCACAAAGCTGAACATCTCATCTGCGCAGCCATCGGAGCAAGATTCGATCGTTGTCTTGACTGGCATGGGTTCGAATTGGGTGGAAAGTGGTGAACGCGTTGGCTTGTGAAGCTGACTTGATGAACTGCAGAATCCAATGTTAGCGGAACGTTTGCTTTTGTGACAGCGAAAAGCCCTTTGATGTTGAAAAAGAAGATCCGTCAGAACTCTTCACATGCGACCTGCAAGGCTGGCAGCAGTTCATTAGGTGGTGGCTCGGGGGCCCAGAATTTGGCGGCAAAGGGTCAGGAGTCATGTGGTGTCTTGAAAGTGGGACGCCACCGGTATAGAGAGGATAGGCCAAACCTCTGTGGGTCTCCAGATTTCGAGACCTGATGTTTTTTGCGCAGTATTTGTTTGTTTTGGCTCTGATCATTTGTGCTTCGTGGAGCTGTTTGTTTGGGTCACTAAAGTTTTTGGCTGAGTGCCACTATTGCCTGTCACAGTGATTGTTTGAACACGATGAAAAAGTTCTCAGTCGGAAGAAACTAGTTGCCGCATGTTGCCGCCTCAAGTATAAGCTTGAGAGGCATCATGGTTTTCTTCTTGCGGCAGCTGGAAATCAGCCAATCAGCCTGCTAGTTTGAGCCAAGAAGCACCGCCAATTTCCGACAAGCAGCTGACCTAGAGAACAAGTTGAATCCTTGGATGTCCTGAAATGTTGGGCACGTAGCAGCAAAGGTCGCAAGCGTCTATCATTGCCACCAAGAGTGTGGCGGCGGGGAAGGGGGACTGAGGGTGTTTGTCCACAGCTTTTGCATTGTCAAATCACACGTCCACACATCGAGCATAATAACAACAATAGTAATAACAATAGTAATAATACGAATAACAATAGCAACAATAGCAATAACAACAAAATAAGAATAATGGTAACAATATAATGTATAATACAATATAATGCAATGCCAATGCAATCCAATGGATAGATAGATAGACAGATAGATGGACAGATAGATAGATAGATAGATAGGTACTGTGTGTATATATGTATTCATCACATTTTGTGGTTTCACCCGCTGCACGTGTTTGCAACACAATGCTTCACGGTTTGAAGAAGCTTTGCAGCCAAGGTTGGACGCTCAACGTGACTGGCACAGGCTTTGCACCACCAAGAAGCGCAGGCTTGGGCAAGGAGGCTTCTCTGAGATGGTTGGCTTTCAAGAGCCCTTTTATTCCCGGCTTCGCATTTGCAGGCTTGCGGATGTTACAATGTTGATTGAAGCTTGCTGATGTGCACACTGTTGTGGCAAACCATTAGTTTGCTCGCCCTCACATCGTTCATCGTTTGGCTGTCCCTTTTGGTGCTATTGTGGAACAACAGCAGCTGACAAGGCTCGCTGAAAGTGAGGAAAATAGAAAGCCGCCGAGCACGGCTATTGCAAAGTCAGCTTTGCTTTGTCTTCTTTCACACAAGGTTGAGGCCACTGAGGCCTTGTTCCACTCTTATAACATTTAACATAGTGGACTTGAAGGGCACAGATGCGCATGCTCACATACTACAATGTTACTACAAGTTGACCAGCCAGGCGCAGACACGTACGTGGAGGTTTCAGTCTGCGGGCGGCCATGCGAAGTGGTGAGCGCCTCAATCAAAGACTGTTTGCGCTCATTTGTTCAAAGTCTTTCACAATCAGCCAGGGGTTGCGTGACCGAGCTGAGGTTGATGGTGGATATGATTGGCTGGAATGCATTGTCCCAAATGCGCGTGGCCAAGACGATCCATTCAATTTGGCAAAACAAAAGGTGACAGACAGCGCCAAATCTGTTGAACGTTGTTTTGTCCTTTCTTTGCGCGTTCTATTTTCGTTCGATTGCTTTTGCAAAGGGAGGAAGAAGTGCAAGGGAGGAAGAAGTGCAACAGCATGTGAACTGCACAAGAAATTGGCTGCAACAGTGGGCAAAGATTAGACCCAGGCTGCTTGAAAAAAAGACAGAAAAGTTAAAGAGAGAAGCTGAGCAGAAAGCTGCTGGGCCATGAAGTCTCACGAATACATGGATGCACGGCGGCTTGTTGCGGAGCATTGCCCCAAGGTCACCACATCCGAGGTGGTTCTTGGCGCTTCTAATACCATTGCCACTGACCAAGACAGCAGAGACGCGGTCATGATGGCATCATAGTGTTACTGCATCATTTTTCTCGACCTCAAAGTGTTTTTGTGTAACCTTTTGGTGTCACATCAAATTGAATTTCAATTGACCAGCAAAGCTCAAGCTTGCACAGCTATTGCAGGGCGGGAGCACCATTGCAAGTCTCCTGCCAACGAAGACATTTCCGATTGGTTTGTGATACCGATACCACACCTGATCTGGCGCGCATGCCTTGAGTTGAGTTGTGACTTAAAACATATTGCTGCTGACTCTTCGCCTTTCCGTTCCTTGGGCCACTTCGTTGGTCAAGGCTCAAGTGCTCTGATGCGCAACGCAGCAACTAAGTTGGGAAGTTGTTGACAAGCTCTTGCTCTTGCGAGCTCTGTGTGGAAGCAGAGTGGGGCGCTCCAACCAAGTCTTTCAGCTCTCTTCCGTCTTCTTCATGACGTGACTCATCTGACTGAGTGCGATGCCTGTTGATTGGGTGTGGTTACGACCCCCCAAATCAACCATTGTGCCTTTTCCCTCCGTGGACATCAGATCTTGATCATCATGATCTGTTGAGTGCGCCAGCGAAGGCATCACGCCGGAGCAACAAAGCTCAAGCGGTCACCGCGTCAGGAGCGTCCCCATGCTCCAGGCCCGCCTATCGGAGAGACAAAAAAAGCTCCACCCCCAATGTGAAAGCAGCCAAAGCAGCGCGTTGAACGTCGCAAGCGCTACCTCATGGATCTTGACACATCGACATCAGCAGCAAGAACGCATGGCATCAGCAACAAGAACATCGACTTTATACATCGACATCAGCAACAAGACCACATCGACATCAGGAACAAGAAGCATCGACATCAGCGACACGAACACATCGAACTCAGCAACAAGAACCATCAACGTCAGACATCAGCATCGACATCTGCAACAAACACATCCACATTAACAAGGACACGCCGACATCAACAACAAGAGCACATCGACATCAGCAACAAGAACACATCATCAACAAAAGGAACACATCGAGCAGTGAATGAGTGCCCGAACACTTTCTGCCTGTGGGACGGGACTCTGATGGAGACTTCCAACGGAATATGCCGCGCTCGAAGATGCTCGGTGCTCGACTCATGCATCAGCCTTTTTTGGTCCAGCTCACACCTGCTTGACATGAGTGAGGCTACACAAGCTAGCCTCACCTGCTGATGTTGCGAGTTTAATAAATGACGGGTGCCACTGAGGGGCGAAAACCTGGCGCAGTTTTTGGTTGCTCACGTCGACGTGCTCTTGCTGCTGATGCCGACGTGCTGATGTCAAGGTGTTCTGACTGCTGATGTCGTGCTCGAGCACACACGCCTGTGGCCTCACGATTTCAGACCTGTTGCAAACGAGAAGCATCGACATCATCTGCCTTCTCGGCCACCGGCTTGCCAAGCAGGGGCAAGCTCGCTCTTGCTGGAGCTCTCTACGATGCCAGCGAGTGTGGGAGATTCTGCGCATGGGCCATCGCGCGCTGCAATTTGGGTGACACAAACGGATTGTTTCGATCACATGACAGGCGCAAGCAAATGTGGGCTCCTGTGCGGCTTTGACAAAATGGCCTGAGCAAGCCATTTGGAGCGCCATGTGGATCTTCCATACTAAAGACAACGAACAAGATCAAGGGCACGCTTCGGGATCCTGGTCAAACTGAGTTCGTTTTGATCGGCACGAACACCCACACACCATGCATGCATCCTTCATGACGGCTCATCTGATCATTTTCATGGTCGTAGGTGAGAGCTGTCTGCAGCATCTTTTCTTTTCGAAATCGTGAGACCTGGTTGGTGAGGTGACTGACTTCATCATCCTTCTTCCGCGCATCCATGTGGATCTCTGCGATGAGGGTGAAATGGCTGTTCAGCCACCTGACTCGTTTTCTTCCTCAAAGAAAGGTATGCTGCCATTCTCACTTTCGGCTGTACCGTCCAAAGCATCTTTGCAATTTCCAGCCACTTTCGTTGTCCTCTCAGTCTCTGTATAGAGCGCGTCCCACTGAAGTCACCCTGGTGTTACTCCTCATCATCAGAGCTCATGACATTCTCGGTTGGTGGCTCCTCACTCTCAACAACCGGCACATTCTCATGAGCCACGTCATACTCAAGCACGAGCATGGCTCTGACCTTCTGCGCAGCTTTGCTCAACCAACAAAAATCATCTGCAAGGAACTCAGTGCACAAATGAAAGCAAAAACCACAATCGCCAACATGGTATTGTACAGGCGGCTGTCATCACTCTCATCTTGCTCGGTTGCTTCAGGTGCAGGGACATTTTCGCATGAGAGTGCACAAACGGCTTGCCTTCTCCCATTCGTTTCGACTGGCTTCCACAAAAAAAAACGCATCATCTCATAGCAAAGGCGAGAAAGGGGCGGCCAAGAGTTTTAGTACGAAACTTTTCCCACATCTCGCACACGTGGTGAGTGTAGCGGCCAATGTGACGGTGAATAAGTCTGTCAGTTGTTTGCAAGCCCTGAGCAGAAAGAAGAGAACAGGACAGCCATCGGATGCATCTCATGGCTGGCAAAACAGACAAGGCCGGACCTGCAGCTCAGCGATCGCTACTGCTGACCGAAAGCTGTCCCAGAGTCAGACGCAGAGACATTCTCTCCAGCTCCAATCAAATCGGAGATCATTGCCTTGGCGCTTGTTCATCTCCAAACGCTGGCTCTGTTGCTGTCAGAGTCTCATTGGGTCGAGGTGCCATGAGGCGTTCCAATCACGAAAATTCTCAATCGAGCCTGCAGGAGTGCAGATTTGATGTCTGCGCACCACAACTTCCAAGATCGATGTGTTGGACTCGAAGTGGGCTTCCATCTCGAGCAGGCATGACTTCGCCTTCCTGAGCGCTGCAAGATGTGAAGCAAGATCCCGCTGGATTGTGTGATTGCTTTCAGTGCTGCATGTTTCATCTTTCCTCCCGCTTTGCTTCGGGAGTCGTAAGGCAAAAAGGCCTGCTTTGCAGCAAGGGTTCATTGTGTACCTTGAGCCAATGGCTATGGCGCCCACACATGCACATCTGTCTTGACTCAGCTGATGAGGTGGTAGACTTCAGCTCCACGTTAAATCTATGTTGCTAGAAACAACGCGGACTTGAAACACTCGCATACGACCAGTTGGGCCGAGGCCCGCGTAAAAATGCAAGTGACCTTGACGATCAAACTTGACGGGAATTGGAGTAGTTTTCAACTAGCAAACACCGCGCCTCCGATGGCAATCACGTTGAAGTCCAGCGCCACACAAGGATGGGCCACCTTGCGCAGCTTCGACCGCGTGCTCTTCTCGCATGTCTTACAGACCACTTGCTCTGTCTCCAACTTCACTTACACCTCCAACACGAAGATGACGGATCAGTTCAGGTTTTGACGGGAAACCGATGGGGTATTCTGCTGATGCTGCGGTGTCTTTTGAGTGGGTTTGGCAGCTTGCTCAAGTATCCTCTCAACAGGAGGCAGTCCTTCTGCAATACAAGAAAACATATACTTAAAAAAATTAATAACCCATGTCAAGGGCAGTTGGTGTAGTGGTATCACACCCGCTCAGCATGCGGGAGGCCCCGGGTTCAATCCCCGGACTGTCCATGCACTTTGCCATTCCTGAGCTTTCATGCCTGCTTTTTCTCACCCGGCCAAAAATTTTCTTTTCATTTGAGGAAAAAGTTGGCAGCTTCCCCGGACTGTCCATGCACTTTGCCATTCCTGAGCTTTCATGCCTGCTTTTTCTCACCCGGCCAAAAATTTTCTTTTCATTTGAGGAAAAAGTTGGTGGTTTGGCCAGCTTTTCCTGTCCGATTCAGCTTCGTGGGAAGTGTTGATAGTTGTTCTCCACAACAAAAGAAGTGGTGACAACTCTACTTATCGACTGTACTTGCACAGGATCACTTCTACAGTGATTCCTCTGCAAACACACCCGACAAAAGAACGTCAACCTACCACTGAGGATGCAAAAATGCCGTGCAAAGCTAACGAAGTTGCCTTCACTGGCTTGATGACAGTTTGCTTTGCAGGCTAACTGAAGTGGTACCATTGACCTCTTCAAGAGGTTGAAATTTGATGTTGTCATAGTGCATGCGTTGCTGATGTGTGTTCTTGTTGCTGATGTTGATGACATGCTGCCGATGTTGCTGATGGTTTTGGTTGTCTTCTGTCGATGTGCTTTGTTGATGTCGCTGCGTTCTTGTTGCTGATGTCGTGTGTTCTTGTTGCTGATGTTGATGTGTTCTTGACTGATGTTGATGTGTCCTTGTTCATGCTGCGTGTTCTTGGTTGATGTCGATGTGTTGCTGTTGCTGCTGTCGATGTGTTCTTCTTGCCGATGTTGATGTGTCCTTGACGACTGGTCTGTTCCGTGTGCCGGTCTTGATGACATGTGATTGCTGATGTCGACGTGTTGTTGTTGCTCACTATGTCGATGTGTTCTTGTTGCTGCGGTTTCCATGCATAATGTCGATGTTCTTGTTGCTGATGTCGATGTGTTTGTTGTTGATGCTGATGTGTTCTTTCTTGGTGCTAATGTCGATGTGTTCTTGTTGCTTGTGTCGATGTGCTCTCTTTCGCCAATGTTGATGAGTCCTTGTTGTTTGATGTAACGGTAATCGGTTCCTTGATGATATGTTGCTGATGTCGATGTGTTCTTGTTGCTGATGTCGATGTGATGGTTTTGGTTGTGTTCTTGCTGCTGATGTTGATGCTGATCGATGTGCTCTTGTGCGCGGATGTCAATGCGTTTTTGTTGCTGATGTTGTGATGCTGATGTGCTCTTGCTGCTGATGTCGATGTTCTTGTTGCTGATGTCGCTGTGTTCTTATTGCTGATGCAATGTCGACGCGTTCTCCTTGCTGATAGATGTGTTCTTGCTGCTGATGTCGCGCTGCTGATGTCGCCGTGTTCTTGTCGATGTGCTCTGGTGCTTCTTGTTGCTGATGTTGAAGCCTCTTGCTGCTGATGTGCTCTTGTTGCTGAGGTCACCCTTGGTGCACTTGCTGCTGATGTCGATGTGTTCTGGTTGCTGATGTTGATGTGTTCTTTTTGTTGACGTCGAGTTGCAGATGTGGATGTGTTCTTGTTGCTGATGTGGACGTCTTCTTGTTGCTGATGTGGATGTCTTTTTGTTGCTGATATCGACGTGTTCTTGTTGCTTGACTTGCCAAGAACATCATCATGCTGCCTGCAAACATTTGTTTGCTTCCAGCATGTCACGGACCATCGGCTTCTTGATGTTCGCTTGCAGCAAACTGATCGTAGCTGCAGCCTGTGGGTATAGCACCAGCCAATGCCCCTTGTGTTCACGGTTAGTGCAAAAGTCATCAACCACACTTGCGCGACTTCTCGATGTTGTTGATGTGGACGGCAATCGGCTCCGTGTGCGGGTCTTTATGATATGTTGCTGATGTCGATGTGTTCTTGTTGCTGATGGTTTTGGTTGTCTTCTTGCTGCTGATGTTGATGCTGATGTCGATGTGTTCTTGTGCGGGGGTGTCGATGCGTTTTTGTTGCTGATGTGCTCTTGCTGCTGATGTCGATGTTCTTCGTTGTGTTCCTGTTGCGGATGTCGACGCGTTCTCGTTGATGATGTTGATGTGTTCTTGGTGGTGATGTCGCTGTGTTCTTGTTGCTGATGTCGATGTGTTCTGGGTGGCTGACGTTGATGCTTCTTGTTGCTGATGTCGGAGGCTCTTGCTGCTGATGTCGATGTGCTCTTGTTGCTGAGGTCACCATTGAGGGTTCTTTATGTTAACGTCGAGTTGTAGATGTGGGTGTGTTCTTGTTGCTGATGTGGATGTCTTCTTGTTGCTGATGTCGACGTGTTCTTGTTGCTGATGTCGATGTGTCCTTGTTGTTGATGTCGGTGTGTACTTGTAGTTGATGTCAGTGTGTGCTTGTTGCTGATGTCGATGTGTTCTTGTTGTTGATGTCGATGTGTGTGTGTGTGTGTGTGTGTGTGTGTGTGTGCGATGTCGATGTAATGTTTTTGGTTGCTGATGTCGATGTTGAGGTGCACATGCTGCTGATGTAGATGTGTTCTGGTTGCTGATGTCGATGTGTTCTTTTTGTTGGTTTCGATGTCAGTTGTTGATGTGGAGGTGGTCTTGTTGCTGATGTCGATGTCTGCTTATTGCTGATGTCGACGTGGAGGTGGTCTTGTTGCTGATGTCGATGTCTTCTTGTTGCTGATGTCGATGTGATCTTGTTGCTGTTGGTTCTTGTTGCTGATGTCGATGTTCTTGTTGCTGATGTCGATGTGTCCTTGTTGTTGATGTCGATGTGTTCTTGTTGCTGATGTCGATGTTTCTTGTTGCTGATGTCCATGTTTCTTGTTGCTGATGTCGGCGTGTTCTTGTTGCTGATGTCGATGTGTTCTTGTTGCGGATGGTGGCGCAGTATGCTGGTTCGCAGCAGTCTATTTTCACGAAAGGTAGCCTGGTAAGGACTACCTTGAGTTTGCTTTGCGAAGCAAGGGGAGTGGCTTGAGAGCTTGCTCGCGACTAAAGATTGGTAGATCAATGTCTAACACCCCCACCCCCCCTCCCCCCCTCCCATGTGATGACTCACTGATAAATCAATTGACTCGACCACCCCCCCTCCCCTCCCCTCCCCTCCACTCCCGGTCCCCTCCCCGTCCCCTCCCCTCGTCGCCAGCACTACCACCACTCTGGACACAAGGTGAAGTCATGCGCTTGGCAGCCACAGCAGTACGACGCTGGCCATGAGGTTGCGCAATACAGCACGAACCCTGCGCAATGAGGTCGCGCAAATCGGCTTCGATGCCGCGCGGCAGCCTGACACAGCCCGTACTGCGTTCACAGACCATATTGCTCGACGCCAACGGGCATCGATGCAACACAGCCTCTCTGCAAAGCCCTGTGGAGAAACCCCTCGCGTCGCGGAACACCATTCGACTCAGCCTTATACCCCAGCGGCGAAACCCTTCCGCATCATGGAGCACGCCCACCATAGCGTGACGTCCATCCCTGGCAGTGCACTATCCTTACAAGGGGGTTGGTCACTGCGGCTTCGACGCAACGCGTGCAGGCCTGTAATCCTGACACAGTGCGTGCAGCGTGGGACCATAGCTGGTACACATGCGAGCGATTACGCGTTGCGACTTTTACGCGCGCCTGTTTTCACACACCTTTACACAAACGAGCGTCGACCAACGCAGCCTCTCTGCAGAGCCGTGTGGCGCAATCTGACCGCAACGGTGTTCCTCTTGAGCCTTCTTGTGCTCTCTGGCTTTGTTGGTTTCAGCCATGATTGACCAAGGGGCACGTTCCTGAAACACCGGAGACAGTCCCTCACCAGAAAAGGTCCCGACAGCTACCCGGTCCGTCTCTACCTTTCGTGTTTCCCCGCTCAAGTTTTTATTTTGTGTTCTCAATTTGTAGATTCTTTATGTGGCGGAGTGTGGACGTTAGGTACCAGATACAACCTCCTCAGTAGCACTGGATCCCGAACAGTATGTTAATTTTTTGTGGCACCTTCCCATTGTGCACAATCAAAGATGGATTTCACTCAGTTCTGGCAGCCATCGCCCTCTGTATTTAGGATGCCTGAAGTTTGGGTTCAGCAATGGGTGTGTCCAGAGACCAATCAGATTTTGAGAGAACAGGGACAAGCACCTTTTGGAAGAGGGTGTTGTTCCCGCACTTTTTCGGAATCTTCGGAATCTTGCTGACGGTCTTTGTTGATGGATCCCCCTTTGATTTTCTTGCGCCTCTTTCATTTCTTTTGTGAAAACTAACCGCCTCATCCAAAACATGCTGCTGGCAAGCTCGTAAAGAACCACCACTAGGATTTCCTTTGCCGCAAAAAACAACAATAAGGCCGAGGCAGTCAGCAATCCAGAGATTCAAAACGAACCAAGCAAGGCTTCCAGTCCCTGCTCAGCCAAAATCCTTCCAAACTCTGGCAACGGCGGCTCTGCTCTCGCTGCCTGCCGCCACGTTGTAGTACTTCTTTTGCTCCAGCACTGTCAACGGGTCTTGTGCGGAACAAGACGAACTCCGCAATCGCGTTTCGTGGCGCCACCCCCTCATAGTTGCGTCGTTGGTGCTTGTAGGCGTCTTCGCCATGAACACCACATGAGTATCCAAAAAACACAAATATTTATATAGGCGGGTTGCAGATGGCGCATCACCTGCGTCTCGGCGCCTGCATGTTGAAGATGCTGAAGGTTTTGATGATGGTGATGATGATCATATCTTCAATTGCACCGCCTGCGTCTCTACACTTGTATGAGAGAACGAGAATGAGAATGAACATGAGAATGATGATGGTGATGATGATGACGATGATTATGATGCTTTTGGAAAAACAACTCTACCAAGTGGGTGATTTCAAACAAACGGAAAACCCTTGTCTTTGGCAGGACACACCTTGTATTTGGCAGGGCAGCCAATAAAGCAGCATGCAATTCTTTAGCCACAAGTTTGGCCCAACAGCGGGTTTCAGAGCCAGCCGAGGTCATGCCAGTGGCACGGGTTCTCACCCGAAATGCAGGCACCGTCAGCGAAGCGCCGGTCCGGCACTTTGCTGTTGAGAGTTCAACCAATGAACGCAGAGATCACTTGAATGCGGAACCATTGTGTGCCCAGGTGTGCTTCCATGGTGTTGGTGACAACCATTTTGAGGCCTTTGCTCGCTGAATGAAGCGGTTTTTTAAGTTGAATGTTTTCCACACAAGGCATTGGTTTTATTTTGTTTTGGCGTGTTCAATGATTTCAATGGAAAAAATACATATATATATATATATTCATCATGTTAAAGTGATTGTTACACATCACTGTTGCTCACGCTTGGAGGTTGGCCATTCAACTTGCGCAGCTGTTTTTGATGATGATCCTGAAGTGGTGGGAGGAGTGGGGGCTGCCACTTTTAAACATTCTTTTGATGCAGCAGTGCTGACCTTTGATTTCCGGCGGCTGTGAGAGGCGAATCGCAAATTAGTCCATTCCACACAATGGTTGGCCCAAACACACTTCAGGAACAACTAGTCAGATTTGGAACCTCTTCAATCTTGTAACAGACTACTTTGCAAGTTGGATTCACCAGTTGCAAAGAAAACAGAACCGAAATCAAGTTTGTCCCGATGGACCACCAGGAACCACTGGCACGAACTGCCATGTGGGCAGGGATCCACAGCCAGAGCGAGCATAGTTCTCTTCAGAAGGGTGGAGATGCGCTGTGCGTGGGACTCGGATTGCTGTGACCTGTGGTCTACATTTTTTGCAGACATGTCCTTGTCTTTTGAGCCCGCCTCAACCCCTCCTGAAAAAACGCCAGCGCCGAGATGACGAACTTGAATGGCCCGTAAGGTGTAGATTTTGGCAAGTTCACGACAGCCAGAGTAGAAAAGATCCGTTGGCATCCGCTCTACGACTTTTTGGAGGCGAGCGCCGTCGCAAACCAATCTCATGGACGGTTTCATGCTAGGGGTCAGCCAGTGGGTTTGAACTACAAGAGAAACTTGAAGATCGCAACTTGAACGGTGCATCCTTTGATCAGGCACTTTCACAGACCGCTATACTATATATCAGCCAGATTGTTACGAAGAGAATGCGAGAGATGTGTGAGGCTGTGAGTGACACATGCAACTGCAGTGGAAAAAGCACCTTCAACTCAGGACTGAGACTTGAAACAAGACAGACTTTTGACAGTTCCGACCAGGCAGATTCGTATATCAACGGCAAGTTTCAGATTGGCACCCTTGCGGAACTCCAAACATGCGATGAATTAAGTGCAGGCCTTAGCAAGGTTTGCCCAAGCTTTCACCATAGTTGGCTGCCAGCTCAAAGTTTCGGACGGGCACCGATTGCGCAGATTCAGAAACTGAGGCTGTGAGTAATGACCGTAATGACGGAAAGTGTCATTTTTTCCTTGAGCCAGTTGGAGCTGCTTGGGTTTCCAAGGTTATGGGTGGAGAGGTGTTGAGTACCAGGGCTGTCAGGAGCGGGTTCTTGCTGTTTAAGCCAAATTTGCTGCATTCCTGATTGCATCCGCCAAAGCATCAATGCATCATCAAGGCATGTAACACACACACACACTTATGGATATGCGTACTGAACTGAATGCCGCTTGCCACACAGCAACCTGGGTGTGAAAGGGGCCTGGGCCTGGGCGCCTTTTGTTAAAGGCAAGAGAGGTCCAGCTCCACGAAGCGACGAACAGGTCGAAGTGATGGCGATCGCTCTTGTCTGCAGAATGCACTAGCCCTTTATGGAAGATGAGAGTCACAGCGTGAGCAACAGTTCAAACGAAGCAGGTGCACCACCACTGTCATGCATAGCTTCGTTGGCGTGCGTTTGCGTGATAGCCGCATGCCCCCTGCTCAGGATCCCTGTGACTCCAAGGGTTACACACACGCACACGCCTCCCACAAGGGGAGGCGAGAAAAGCTAAGGCCGGGACAGTTGTGCATGTGTGCCATGCGTGCGCGCTGCAAGGACAAGAAGATGAAGACATGAAAAGGGGACAAGACAGGACAAAGGTGTAGATAATTGCGATGACAAGGAACCAAGTGCACAGGAACAAAAAATGAAAACCCACCTCATCGTCAAACCTGGGCGACCTGAAACCTGGGTTTGAAGTAGATGTGAATGTGCACGTGCAAACTAAGGGCTGGACCAATGTGCGCGCAAAAGAAAGAAGGAATGAGATGCCAAGACATGAAGGCAGGAAGACATGAAAGAACAGCGGAAAGAAGATGTGTGTGAGCGGGAAAGGATGAAAAGGGGAACCAAATGGAGCAGGAACCGATGAAGCCCAACCTGATTAGAAAAACCTAGGAAGACTTGCCTGGTTTGGAGCGCGCGCTGTGTGTGCACCTAAGGTGGGGGCAGGTTCCAATGAACCCCTAAGAAAGGCTTCGGTCGCTGTGACCACCTTGTGGCGTTAAGCCTGCTTGGACCCTACGGTCACGTTCTGGCATGTAGCCTATTAATCCAGCAAATCTTGGCAAATAACTCTGGCATAAGCCTCCCTTCGGACACCTACGTTCCCAAGCCGGGGAACATGGAAAAAAACCCGTTCGATGGGTCCACAGGGGGCGCTCCTCGGGCTCACCCTGGGCTCTCACTGAGGAGAGACACAGTTATGGATATGCGTACTGAACTGAATGCCGCTTGCCACACGGCAGGATGGGTGACCATATTCCTGAAAAATCGTGAAAGGGGCCTGGGCACATTTAGTTAAAGGCTAGAGGTCCAGCTCCACGAAAGCGAGGAACAGGTCGTCGAAGTGACGGCGATCGCTCTTGTTTGCAGAGTGCACTGGCCCTTTATGGAAGATGAGAGTCACAGCGTGAGCAACAGTTCAAACAAAGCAGGTGCACCCAGTTGATCAGACCTGGCTTCCACTGTCACGCATAGCTTCGCTCATCATTCAACATTCAACACAACACATCCGAAAGGATCCCTGTGACCCCAAGGGTTACACACACATACACAATGGGGCATATGCGTTTAGTTTCCAGCAATATATGAGCAATGTGTAGAGACTGAAGGTCACCAGGCCGCTGGAAACTACTGGCAGCATACTTGATATTATATATGCGACAAAAACAATTTCAATTTTTTCCCTGTCACGCTTCTTCGCTTAATGGAACGGTCGCTATCAAGAAACTACAGAGGAAAAAATGAAACCTTTGTTATTTGTCAGGATGTCTCGGAGAGGGGAAATCCTTGCATGAGTCGCGTGCCAAGCCTGAAGGTGCTGGAGAGAGAAGTGATTGAAGAATCATGAAGACCTTTAGTTCCGGGTGAAGGTGCAAACCATGACAAGATCTCTTGGTTCTCAAGATCTCTCAATTATGGATACCACCGACCGTGGTGGATACTGTGAAGGTTGGTGGACACGCAGTTTGACGCGTTGATATTGCAAAGTCCGATGCAACCAGCGACTGAGGTTGGGCAGGTTGCAGCCCTAGCTCAGGGAAGCGGGAAGCATGCACGTAATGGCTTAGAAATGCACAGACGGACGAAACCGACGTCACGAATGCGGACCTTTTTGGGCAATAAGTACGCTAGTTTGATCTGAGTCAGAAGGCAGATGTTTTTTTCGTTTCAGACAGCCAACAGTTTGTGTCAGATGCTGGCTACACTGAGCCTGAGTTGCAAGGGTTGGACACTTAGAGGCCCACAGTGGCGAGTTTTTGGCAAACTCGTTTTGGTTTGAAGAATTGGTGGAACCGTGCTGAACAGTACTGTTCGTTTTGACTTGAGTAGGTCAAGAAAGCTCCGCATCCAAAAGCGAAGCAGTGGAATGCATTGGATAGTGATGTTTTTTGAAGCCGGGTTACTTCACCTAGGCACAACTACTGCAGAAACCCCGCACCTGGAAGCGGGGAGCTCAAGTGGGGCTTGGCCGAGCATGGGGAATGATTTGTGGGTTGCGATGCTGCAGGACTTCTTCGGTTCACAAAATTGCACCTCAAAATTGGATGTTTAAATGGCGCAGAGACGAAGACTTGCTATGTGGACGACCTCTGTGAATTTTTTTTGTTGCGTATGGGTACCTTGCATGTCCTTTGCTTGTTGTATCATGGAGGACAACTCCTCCAACATACGAGCCAAAAGGGATGATGTCCATGTAAACATACGTGCAAATCAGATGGAATCGTTGTCATCTCCGTTGCAAATCTGCAGAGCCACCCAGTTCGTTGGAAGTGGCAGACCCTCTCAGAAAAGTCACTGTTCTGTGGCAAGTGGATGGAGCCGGTCCTCCCGTCTTGAGGCCGACACAAGGGCATTTGGTGTCCGCTTCAAAGGGGAGGTCGCTGTGGTCGCTGTGGTGCTGTATTCTTTGGATAACAGTGGAGAAACTGCTGTAGGACTCATGGGTCATTGCTGTTGTTTCTTCAAACGTTTGAAGCTTTGTCGTGGAAACTCTTTGGTGCCAAGAGCATGATGCGTGAAGCCACCATTGCTTCACCCTGGCTTTAGTCCTTCACAGACACCCTTGCTCACACCTAGCATGATGTCAGGTTGGCAATATTGCCACACAAAGATGCCCAGCATCACCTGGACTGATGTTTACACAATCCAGCGCAACTGGCCTGTTGTTTCCAACTAAATACTTGCGTGCTCGAAGTTCGAAAGAGGTTGCTCGGCCTGAAGAGAGAGAGTTCCTTGTTTCATTTTTTTGCGTGACCTTTCCCTGGAGCCTGCAAATGACACTTACTTCAAGTTTCCGAGTTGCCTGTGAGTGCAAATCTAGCTACTCCAGCAATCCAAACATTTGGATTTCTGGAAGCGACCTGGCAGACTGCCAGGTCCATTCCAAAGATGCTGTGGAACGATGTCGTGTCGCGTCCTCGATGTTCTAAGGCTTTGCTTCTTCATAGCGGTTACATGCTGTTGCGGCACAAAAGCTTCTATCAGAGTCAGATCATTTTGTCAGTTTGTTGCGAGTACGATTTGTTCCTTTGTCGATTAGGCTGAGTTGTTGCAAATTGCTGTGCTGAGGCTGACCACTCCTGTGACTGGACGGTTTGTTCGCTTCCTGTCTCCTTCCGGTAACTGTCAGATGCAAGAGATGCAGGCAGGGAAGCTGCAGGAAGATTGTCATCAAACAAAAAAGACAAGGAGTACTAGAAACCATCTGGAAACCGTTGATTCCTCCTTGTAATTCTATGACTGGTCTTGTTGTTTCGCATGCTGAATCTCATTTCTTTGGTTTGCAGGTGGTTGGCCAGTTGGTGGCCCCATCTGACAGCTGTGAGGTTGCCGTGCGAAACGCAGGGAGGCCAAGAAAGGAATGACAACAGATGAGTAGCGTTGGCTGGAGTTATTGATTCAGAGTTTCATGAAAAGTGTTCTGTTTTGTTGTTGAGCAAGATTTCTTCCAGCAGAGGTGGGTGAAACAAACTAACCACGTTTCAATCCAGGGCCTTTCAACCCTTTGTGTTTCCAGCGAACTTATCAGCTTACCAACTTGATGTTGTTGTGTGGTGTCGAGCTTGACTGGTGCCTTTTTCTCACATCAAACCCTAACGAACGAAGCGGGACCCAGGGACCTTGACCGCCGGACCTTGACCGCCGCCCAGGTGAGATCCTTGACCGGTCCAAATTTGCACATGGACCTTGGAAGGTTGGTGAATGCCTCGGACGATGGACGGAGGGACGGACATGGAGACTCCCAAAAGAGCACCGCTACGTTTCAAGATGTTTCATATCAAAACTGATTTGTGCCAAAGCTTTTGAAGGTCACCAAGGAAAATGCAGCCTTAGGCATGCACAGAGGCCGGTTTTGTTCCCCAAATCAAGCCTTCATCGGCTGCATGAGAATGAGCTCAGAATCTATTTGCACTGTTTGCTCACAGGTTCCCAAGTCTGAGAATCTTGGTTTCGTCGTTTTCTTTTGTGCAAGGTTCCGCCAGCAAAGAGTCAAGTATGCCCGAATTCAGACAGATCCCAGACACATGCAGCTGACCGGAGTTCTTTGACTGCTCGCTCAGGCTTGGCGCGGTGGTATCCACCAAAGAGAGAAGTTTCAACAGACCATGACTGAGTTCGAAGCCTCAGTTGTCTTGGTTGCCTCAGCCGAGTATGTCGCGGGCCCGTTTCAGGTTGTCTAATTTCCTCAAGTTGTTTCCAGACCTTTCGGCTCAAAATGGGGGGACTTGTGTGCGGTTGTCTAGAGTCTAGAGGTTGATTTTCCCAAGCCCAGGACTGCAATTCAGACAGTCAAATTATCGGTAATGTCCTAGATTTGCTCCAGCGCTTTTGCGGTTCGCCGCAAGTTTGCATCGAAACGGGAAACACGAGCGATGGACAACTTCAATCTGTTGCTAGTGGATGAGCGGGAGGCTAGATTAGATGAGGTTAGGGCTGTTGACCAAATATCGACTGTACTTTGGGGACGTTGGTTGGGTTTATGTCGCTTTGCTTGCGCATTCAAGGTGGGTGCACAACGCAGATGTCAAAATCACCTTCAGTGTGAGCTCAACGTGCTGACCTGAGCTGCAAATGAGCATCCGTTTCTCTACAACAGATCGGTGGGAGAGAACTTTTCAACCTAAAAACTTTGCAATCGTATTGAAGACCATGGGTTTGGATAGGCAACTGAGCGTTTTTCCTTCCAAGGCCAACTGTGACTCACATCTCACCAATAAATGGCACCGCCAGGGGTGGCACGCGAAACTGGCGATGCTTAAACTGGTCAACGAAGTCACGTTCGTTTTTTTCCAGTGAATGCCACAAAGTGGGAATCCCAATCATTGGCCTTTCAGTGCACTGTTTTTCGGGGTCCCTCCATTCTGGGAGACAATTTAGGCAGAGTTCTTGCTACTTCATGGAAAGCGACTGACTTGCAAGAGGCTGACCAGCACAATGACAAGATTCAAGAATGCACCCCTTCTTTCAAAGTGTGTAGAGATTTCCTCGCCAGCAGATAGAGTTCAGCACTCGGCCCACTCAAGAAGACGAGCAACCGGAGTTCAGGAAAAGAGCTTGCGACATTGCTCGCCGGACAGATGCAAGTACAATTATCCCATGGTTCTAGCAGGAGACCAGATTATAAAGAGAACAGGCGGGTACAGTTAGCTTGGTTGGACATGAAACACCTCTAGTGCCTTTCAGGGCAGTGTGCACTCGACAGCTAGATGACATGACATGTTCTTTTCGGTCTAATTATTGCAATCCATTACAATTTGGAGACAGCTCAAGACCCACCTCTAAAAGTAGGAAACGCACTAGCATTTCTTCAGGCACACATCCAGCAGATGAGTACAAACCGGAGTTTTGTGACATTCCAAAGGAACCTGCCTCCGGAATTGACGAAGGCAAGCGACATATTCTTTGGCATTTTTATGCTTTTGTTTGAAAGTCGTAATGGAGCTAAGACCGTCTCATTTTGTCTGAGGTTCGTTTTGTACAGCAGTCAGCAGTTGTATGATGGTTTTTGCCGTCTGCCAGAAGCGTCACCATTTATGGCAGCAACTTTGGTCCTGCTTGGGTAGTCAACAGCCCAGTGAATGGCACTGACATTTTGTATTTTTTTGAGCATCATTTGAGATCGTCATGTGAAGGTTTGCATGTGTGCCTGCCAGAACCTCCAACAATGAGGGGGTCTCTATTGTACTTCTTTACTCTAAAGGATCTTTCGCGCTAAGGCGGACGAGACGAATGCCAACGCCTGGAACCTCAAGCTCGTGTAGTCTTCTCCTGCTGAGTCCTTTGACGTATGTATTTCCACCCTCCTCATAGCCCTTTGCTTAAAGGGACCCTGATTCTATTTCACCGGTGACATGCGATTTCTACAGCTTGTCTCAACATCGGCAAATTCATGCAAATTCTCAAGATTCAGTGCCTTTATTGCTTTGATACCTTTTCACGATACTTTTTCATGCAGCATCTTTGGACCACCAAGTTGTTCTCCCTTTCAAGTTTTTTTTCTTTGCAGCTGAAGTGTGCAGTTCGGAGCCATTGTGAAGAATGCCTTGGGCACCCAGGAAACTCCTGTGGAGGTTCAGTTCAACGGATACCCCTGCATCGTCCAGCAGGCCCATATCAAATGGGCACTATTTGATTGCTGAAGTGCAGAGTGTGCTCTCATTGACCACCACGAGGTTGTTACAGTGCCATATCATGTGTTTCACTGGGTTTGCAAGGCTGAGATACAGTGATTGTCACGATGAGATACAGTGAACACGCCAAGCGAGTGGCTAGGTCCTTTGTTATATGGTCAATTGATTTGGTTGCCTTCTGTGGCACGTCTTTTTGCTGGATTCCTGTAGGTAAGCAACAGCAGCGTGGTTTGCGTTGAAGCCCCAGTATGCACTGCTATGCCATGCTTCCTAAGCATTGCAGCACGATTGTACTTTTATATTGCATTATGATATATGTATCATTTAGAGTATTTTCTTTGGGATTGCCTTCAAAAGTTGGACGTCCTGTTGTTACTTCACCAACAATCTCAGGGTCCGTGGCAGGCTGTGGGCCTGTTTCCGGGTGACGAAACGGCACCAAGTTGACCAAGTCATACACCCTACATGGATGGATCAATTCGGATCAAGAGAAGGGACGTCGAGTCGTCGAGTTTCCTTCGGAGTTCTTCAAGCTCAATCTGTTCTTCCTTGGTAGATACCAGTGGCGCCTGGACAAGGACATTGCCTTTTTCCGTTTTGTGATGTTTAAATAGCACCCAACGTCGACGGCGTCACGGTGCTCAGGTCACCGTGCCTCGCAGCGATGGCATTTTCCCTGCGAGTATGAGGGTCACAGTGGAAGGCGCACCCCCCAGTTCAGTATGTCGGTGTTGTGTAGGCGCCACTGACTTGGATCGTGGGACCATGGTGCTTTTCATGGCTTTGACGCACAGAGCTTGCAAGATGAAGCTCAACAACTATTGTAAATGATCGGGCCTTTGCTGGTGGAGTCCTCACTCTTTTTGAGACGCCTCATTTGACCATGTGAGTGAGGCTTTCGTTTACTATAGAGACTATCTAGGCTTCAAAGATGCTGATTCTTGGGCTTTTGGAGGTGCAGGCAATGCATGGATCCGCCCGGGAACACGCTTCCGCTACTTGGATCGATGGTCTTTGCTGGATACCTGGGCCAATCAGGTGCGCGGCCTGAGGGGGAAGGTTTGCTTCCTGCGAAGAAACAAGAAACACCTGGTTTGGTTGCTTGTCATTTGTCAGCTTGTTGAACAGTAGTAGTTGGTTCAAAGTCAAATCAACACTCTTTTATTTGCCTGTTTGTGTCAGGAGCCGCCGATTGAAGATGCATTGGTGTCAATTCCCTCGGGACAGGCGATTCTCTTGGAACCTTGGCAGGGAACACGTCTCAACTTCATTTGATTTTGTCAGCCTGTAGGGGTATTAGGCGTGTCTTGGGTAATGTTGACTGGCTGTGTGAGTGGTCTTGGTATTGATTTCAGAGAAATAGAACAGACTTGGTTCAACATGGTTCAACATTTCTCTGGTGCAAGGCAAACGGACCCGGAGTTCCAAGGGGTGCTGTCATTAGACGCATCAACTCCAGGGACAACGTCTTTCAAAGCTCACATGTTTGTCAGTGCTCTGTCCCGAGGATGAGGACACGCCAGTCTTGCTGATCCTGACGGTTGAAGGCTTGTTGACTGGGTGCTGGTTTGGAATTGAGCTATTCCTTTGTGCTAAGGACTTTCTGTGTTGGGCATACCTTTTACTCCAACCTTGTGGTGAGGTTGGGTCAATTGCAGAGAATCCTCGGGGTCGTGTTGATTTTTCCGTGCACGGAAATCACCCGGCCCTGTGGGTGCGCAAATGCGGGAAGGGTAGGCCGACCAACAACAGTTTTGTGTTTTTTTTCAAAGAGCCTTTGCGAGGTCTCCCTATTCCAAGACCTACCCAGAAACACCCAGATACCAGAAAAGGAACATAGGACTCCTTCCCAGTTTTGCCCTTTCGAAGTCAGGTGCATGTAGTTGTAACACACTGCTTTTGGAGTCGCGCGAATACTTCCTTCGACGGTCACCAGAGCTTCTTTCACAGGTGTCTTGGTTTTTGACAACAAGGACGTCCACTTGCAAGCGACCTACATTTGGGTGAAGGCACGCATCGGTGACTGAAGCTGAAAGGATTGATTCAACGGTTTTCAGCAAAATACTTGATCGCCCGCCCAGTTGAAAGATGATGACAAACCGACATGCTCCATGTCCGTGCATCAACTATGGAGCTTGTTGTCAAACTCTGCGCTACAAACTCTGTGGTTTGTTCATGGATTTGTCGCTTCGGTGGATCGATCTAAAGGAATCGATGGATCGATGGTCGCGACAGCTACGACCGCTTGTTCTCGTCGGACACGTCGGCAGGGCGGAACCATGGAAATCGGCACTGAAGAGAAGCCGTTCCTGCACCGGGCGCGGAACCCCACAGGGTGATGAGGCGACTTGATGAGGTGGTTTGTATGGTCTCAAGAGGTCAGATCTCCTTGAAGGGATCTTGGGGGATCTTGGGGGCATTTATCGATCTTGATTATCCTGACTCTGACATCCCCTTGGGGTTTTTATCCCGAACCACTGACTGCCTGACAGGACATCCGCGATCGTCTTTCTTATTCGTCACCCGAGGCCCTGATCACTCTGCATGGACAGAAGTATGAGACCATTCGTCTGTGAGGAGCTTAGAGCCAGTGAACCTCAGTGAACTGGGGAACTGGAGCATCTTTTGCTCTGGTCTTTGCGCAACCAAAGGCTCAACAAGTCTATCTCAGTCTATCTCCAAGTAGGAAATTATAGGAATTTCCAGGACTCCAAGGCCACAGATCTTTGCGACTATATAATGGAGCCAGAACCAGCCAAAAAAGAACACGTTGATGCTGTCGGATGGATGCTCGAAGGGAGAATTGGTTTGTGAACAGCAGTTTCTTCTTCACTGATGAGATTTCATCCGCTTGGGAATTGCTACTTTCTTCATGTGAAACACATCGAGACAAATGAATGCCCTGTCCCTGGCTGCGGCACGTGCTGAGGCCGGTGATTGGCGGAAAAGTCTTGGCGGTGTCAAATACGCAGTTTACCATTCGGGAACTGGGCGACAATGCCGTGGAGGAAGGTGATGTGTGGCGGCCAAGGGGAAGAATCAATGCCATTGGGGTTCTTTGCAAGCTGCTTTTGCAAGCTGCAAGACTCGTGTCGAAGTGAAAGAGGAACCCCCTAACTGGTCAAAAAGCAGATTGTTTGGGTTGAAAAGCGCGGTGCCTGCTCCATCATCCCCCCATCATCCCCTTTTTTGTGGACTTGGGGAATGGACCGTTTGAGATTGGGACTGTTTTGAGGATCTCCTTTACCACCTCCAGGATTTTGGCAACTGCACATCCCCACAACCATGGCTCGAATCTCCAGACATGAACTTTGCTGTTTCTTTTGATATATTGTAGTAAATACATGTAAATACTACCAGATATCATCACGTGCTGGCATAAATTGACCCCCTTTTTTGAATCAAAACGAGCGCTTCGATCGCCTTGCCGACTCGCCCGCGCTCGACTCGCCGTTCTCGGTGGCTGAGATCGGCGCGTTGGACATCCATGGAAGGCCGCGCTTGAAGGTGGGCGGCCGCGCCGCGCGGTGGGGTAGTTGGGTCGTGTGCCGAGGTTGGGGTCTGGAAAGGCTGGGCTGGTTGGAAGAAGTTCCAATGGAAGGATGGGAAGATTGTTTCTGAACTTCCGTATAGGATGCAAAACATGTAAATGGTGAACCGTGAGCGCATACAGTTTGTCACCTTGGTGAGATATGTAGCAGGTCAGATCAATTGAATGGTGTTTCTTGGTGTTTCTTGGTGGCCTCTGCCATAAATGGCCATGGCCCCGGATGGTGGCCACCAATGGCCCCCGATCCTCCTGTGCTTTCGATCCAAGCCACACGCCAAGCGCCACCCGATGCCCCACTCCAGTGTCCACACCATGCTCCGCATGGCACTCGTCAAGGTGTGGACGCGCTTGGCCCAAACAGCTGAGAAGGGCGACACAGTCATCGTTCTGCAGGACGTCTAGGTGACATATGACATCGTTCCAGTCAGTGGGCTGCTTGCTCACTGCTGAAGGTCTGTTGAACCAGCTATCAGATGGAAAGCCCTTTCCAAAAGCACTGAGAAAACACAGCGTTGTTTTTTTTGATCAGCACTGACAAGTGTTTCTGCGAGCATTGAGCCGTTGCGGTCACATCTCTTGGAGAAACTCGATAACATCATTTGTTGATTCGGCTTCCAGAGCGCCCGCCAAGATGAATCTTGTGAAAAGGATTGTTTGGAACATTTGGACATGAAACAGTTGTACAATTGTTCCTTTGCTTCCGCTATATTTTATTTGTATTACTTATCTCGGGGTTCGAGATATATTGGTGAAAGATGCAGCACTGCGAATGATATCTTGAGAACAATCATGCAATGCTCGGATGCTCAGTACGTCCAGTGCAGAGGACATTGTGGATTGGAAGGCGGGCGAGGAGTTGATGGTCGCTGCCATAGGCTTAGCAGAGAGGCTTCGCAGGCAGAGTGGCAATCAATGTCATCGCACAGGTCGCTCGAGCAGCTCGTTTGGTTGCAGTGATTGCCATGTTCTACTTTGACTCCAACCTTTGGCCCCATTGTGGCCCTGTGCATGGTACAGGAGCAGACCAAGGAAATGCAGGGTTTAGAATGATTTCATTGCATTGGATACAAGCTATGCCATGCCCCCAATGCCGCTGAAAAACCACGGAGATTCCCTCTCCCAAATGCAACTCATCAGGGTAAAGGTGCCGTTTTCAGTCTCATTCCCACCGCTTGGGGCTGAGGCCACTGACATCCCTCACAAGCATTTCAATGGCAACGGATTGCATGGAGCACCGTGGCGATCTGAGTTTGGTGCGACCGGGCATGTTTTTGAGTTTTTCCAAAAGACACCTCAGAGCATTCTGTCTTTGCATAATGTTTTTTTCTCGGAGCTTTCGAGGCGTGGCCCCAAAAACAAAAGAGGACAAAAACAATAAACAAAACATGGTATGAAAACACACATTTGATCGAAATCTCTTCGAAACCCCTTCGATGTTCTCTCGGCGCAGAAGAAAAACAACTGGTGAAGAGCTAAGGCCTGTTGATTTCCACAATGAGCCTTGCACTTGGCCGTTTTTCTCCTTTGTTTCTTGTACCGGTGTATTCTTGTTTTCCAGGTCTGTAGATACCTCAAGTTGACGGTATTCCCACAAAACACATGAAATCTGCAAGTTGACGCTGAAGACCATCATCGATACATCTTTTGGATCCAGATGTGAACAACATCCAAGCTGTGCCAGGGCGGGCAAGAAGCTGAGCCCCACTTTGCACCCCCAGAACTCAGTCCATTTCAGGCGCGTGTATATTCAAAGCGTCGCGACGGATATGAAGACCATCACCTTGACAACTCCATTGAAGTTGGGATCCCCAGTGGAGCCTTGAACGGAGCGACTTCCTGCAGAAACCTCAGTAACTGCTGAGAGGCAGAGGCAAAAGAAACATCATCTCTTGGGTTTTCCTTGCCATATTCTAGAAGTCACTCTCTGATACCTGAAGTCACCTTGTCCTTGTGCCTGTTTGCTCCTTTTTCTTCATTAAGTCTGACTAAGTCTTTGAATCTCCTCGCAGTCTCCCCTCCTTTGCCTGCATCTCACTGGATGATGTTCATCTGCCAGGTATACGCACATCTCCACGAACTACCGAAGACCGTTGGACGATGAGTTCATCGACCTCTCCGCCGAGGCACACTTGAGGTTGACGCGTTTTTGTTTCAGATTTGGCTCACTTGACCCAAAGCTCCAGTGCTCTCAGTCAATGTCTTGTATCTTTGAATAATGGCTTCACGACAGGGGATCCGGCACAGATTTTCTGGCATGAACGCCTGGCCGAAATATGAGACCATGTCTGTATGAAAGCCTGGCTGGTGTGACGTCTCTTCGTCCTGAGGTGGCTCTCCTCTCAAGGAATGTGAAAATTCAGGGAGAAGGGCCCGAAGCCAAGATCTGCTTGACATAGGATGAGCAGCTTGACCTTGGTGTCAAAACCTCGGGTCCCGCAGCCTATTGGTGCAAGAGATTGCGATCACCTTGTAGTTCTTCAGGTTGAGTACCATTTTTGGGGAACCACTTGCCTCAATGACCTATGCATTCGCTGAGATGACTGTCTCGCCAGGTATCACTCTGAGCGTGACCAATGGGGCGGACACACCATGGTGCTGCTCTCGGGCAGAGGGCGTGGTTGGTGACAAGGGAACGCGATCAGATGCGATGTGTGGAACGTGCTGAGGTTGCCTCTGGTGGCATTTACAGGATTGAGAATGCTGAGCTGGGATGCTGAGAACCAACCAACGCGACAGTGATGCCAAACACTGGTGCACTGATCACATCGATGATAAGAATGCCCTTGGAAACTGATTTGTACTTGTACCAGTGCAACTTCAGTTCCCTGAAATCCTCATCACTCTATAGGTGAGTCTTGTGACATCTTGTGACTATGTGGAGTGCAAGAGCATCTAGTTGATTTTAGTGGAATGCAAACCGTTCTTTCGATGGGTCCTTGGAATTGGCCATCTACCTGCCAATTCCTTGGAAGACTCTTCGGGCTTGCTGGACTGTGAGCCCGCTTCAGCCACTTCAGGTTCTATCGCTTGGGCCAGACAGGTGAGGTGTCAAGGCCCAATGAACAACTGTTGGCATGAAAATCATGTGACGAGAAGGGTCATGGCTTCAACTTCCGTCCCAAGCTTGTCAGACCGTAGACCGTTCTCACTACATATTCAGTGGTCGCTTTGGCGTCGCAAGCTTTGAATCTTTGCCACCACATGTCTGGGCACGTTTGCAGCAGTTTTGCAGGTACCCGATCCACTTCCACATCACGCAGGACTGCAATTGACCACCATAAGCCTCCACTGCGATAGACCGGCTTTGAACTGTACTCTCACCGTACTCTCACTGCGAGGACTACGGACAGAACTGCTACGCACGCTACAACTCCATTCACCACAGTTTCCAACGAGTGACTCGGATCCGGTCGGGACCGGCGTCGGGACCCGGTGGACACGAAGTGGACACGAAGTGGACACGGATAGATAGACGGAGGAAATCGAAGACGTGCGGGCTTTTGATCGAGGCTGAGGATGGTTCGGCTTTGAATGACTTGACATGTGATGAAGGCTAGACAGAATTGATTCACCATTTTCCTTGGACACTTGCTTGCGGAGATTGGGAAGCAACAACTAGAAGGCCTGATGGACAATATAATAACGATTAATAAGGCTTTCTAGTGTTGCAATTTAGATAGATGATTTCAGGGGTAACAATCCGACCCATGTTGTCAACTTGATTTGGGTGTTTGGGTTGGAGGGGAATGAGAAGGAGTGTTTTCCTCTCGTCAGACAAAACCCTGGAAGTCCAAAGACTATGTATTTGGCAGCATTAAAGTCTATTCCTGAACTCGGGTCACCAACTAGTAGGCGGGACGTTGGGAAAGCTTTCACCTCCTTCCGTCCTTCGAGGCCGTGGCCATTCACTCCACGAACTACGTGAACGTGAAGGGCAACGTGGCCTTCGACATCATTGGACACATGCTTGCCCCCTAGAAAAAGGATGAGCAAAAAGAAAGAAGGAAAGCAGACAGAAGAGAACAAAGCAGGCATGGTCATAGTCTGGGCAGAGCACTGTTGGAGGGCTTGAGCACTCGGGAGCCTGGTCGTTTGCTTGAGAATGTTGAAAGCCAACCTCTATTGCTAGCACTGTTGCGTGAGAGTTCTTGAGGTTCTTTGTGGAAACAGGTATGGAGATGCAACGCACTTAGAGCTTCAGATGATGACCTTTCTTTTCTTCAGACCAACAGTGCAGCAGGTTGCAATTTTCATGCTTTCAGACTAGACCGCCGAGGTGGTTTGAGATGAAAGTCCCATATTTTGCTTCTTCTTGTTTTGTAATCGTTTTCGTCTTTGTTTTCTTCTTCTTCTTCTTCCTCTTCTTCTCCTTCTTGTTCTTGTTCTTGTTCCTGCTTGCTCATTGTATTTCGATTCTTGTTCTGCCTTCTTTTTCTTTTTCTTCGCCACCTTTTCTTCTCGTCTCGCTGTTTATGGTTCCAGGGGGTCGTTTGGTGCTCGGCCCGCGAGCGGGTCCGCGTGCCAGGCACAACACATTGGAAGGCAACCTGGCTGTGTCCAGCTCAGTCGTAACGAACGCTCAGTCATGGTCGCGGGTTCACGAGTTTCTGCGCTTGGAGTTTCAAGCCAGAAAAGTGGGCGTAAACATGGCTTTGTAGACGTCGTAGACCCGATTTGTTCAAGTTTGATTTAGGTACTGAATCCGAATGTATTGCCTATTGAAATTGCGACATAGAACCACCAACAAACTTTGGAAGATGTGTCTCTTTAAGAGATGCACCCGAGCCCCAAATGACTGAGCCCGAAGAGCTGACCTTGACTCAGGTGGGAGCTATTCCACTGTTGTCTGGAATGTTGGAAAGTGACCAGGAGCGCAGGAGGTTCACCATTCTAAAGCGAAAACGCTCGTCGAAAGCTTCGGAGCCAAGCATTACACCGATCCAGGAGCCTGCTGGCTTTTGGACTGCAGCTCCCAACAATGTTTGGAGAGACAACGCCCGGGGAGCCAAAAGGAACACCTGTTTGGAGCCGCTGGTTGGAGCTGATAGCACTTTGGTAGACATAGCTGTGCTCTATTCTTAGTGGACGAGCGCTCAGTGTAGGCCACTTGCTTGCAAAATCATGTGAGCTCAGGTCGCTGTCACTGGATCTGATGGCTGGTATTTCCAGCTGATGGGATGCTCAGCCTTTCATGCAAAAGCTGACGGGTCATTTTGTCGAGGAGACGAGAAATTTTGGCACAGGTGGCTATACAAGATCCGATATAGACAATTATCGACAGTATCCACTAGTATTTATATAAACAATTTGAGCAAGGACTGAAAGTGCACAAACTAGGTTAAAACCTTTCCAAAGTTGCTCAGCACCGAGCACCTGTTATACGGGCTGCTACACAATGACATTCCTTCAAGGATTCAGAAGACATATTGCATTGCACTTTTAAACCACTGAACGACTGAACGCAAGGTCTGACCCCTCATTTTATCACTAGCTGCACTAGCTCAGCTGTGCGTGGACGTGTGGGGCATTCGTCCGACTCTCCCTGAGGCCGGACACTCCAATTTCACACAATATGGACATCTACAAGGCATGGGGCGCACGCACTGCAGCTGTTGCGCCCCGACCTTTGCTTAAACATGCGCGTAGCTGGCGCGCCATGTTTGGCGGTCTAAGTCTTGCTCGTAGCCAGAAGCGATGCTATGCAGCCAAGGGAGCAAGGAAACACCACAAATCGTAAACACAAGAAATACCATAGTATTTAGCAGCTGAGTCATAAGTCCTCACACTGTTGACAACAAGGGGAGCCTGGCAGAAGGGAGCGAGGACGTCCATCACCTGCCCGCCCCTTCGTTGGACGTTCCACCTGCACGCAGGACAGCATTTGCCCCAAGGGCACGCGCATTGGTGAATGGAGACGGAACCGTTGCCATCACTTACCTGGTCACCTGGGCTTGTTTTGGTTTCAGACTTTCTTTAGTTGAACGGTGTGGAGGGAAATCTTTGCGGTTCATTCTACTCAGTTTTGCAATAATCATGCGCTCGAAGTCAGAGCGTCAGAGCGTCGAAGTCAGTCTTTCCACTTCTTCAAGCTACTGGTATCGCATGGCGTGCGAGAGACGCTGCACACGTGTGCAGTTGGCCGATACCAGGAAGCTGCATCCGCATCTACCTCACATGGATTCCTCGCAAGGACGCCGAAAGGTAGTTTTTTCTAGAGTCTCAATTTTCAAACACACAAAACATTGATTCATTCTACCAGGTCATCTACTAGCTTTGAAACCCTTGGTTATCTACTTGTTGAGTCTGACACGAAGTCGTAGCACAATTCCTCCAGGTCATCGACTCATTGTAGACTGTAGACCTTGCCGGAGATCGCTCGCTCAGGTCGCTCGGTCGCTCACTCAGTCGCTCGGTCCCTCGGTCGCTCGTGCCAGGAGCCATGCAACACCGACAGTGCTGAGGATCCTCAGATCTTGTTCAATACCACCTGTAAGATTCTCAGCTCTCGTTGGTAACCACAAGGCATATTTTTTCGCAGCTGGTCAGGACCATGAATTTCTTTTGCTCATCAACGGAGCATGAACAGTCGCTTGCAAGATTTCTGAATGGATGAGGCAATTGTGCAAGTTCTCGGAGCCTTTTCACTTCTTGTTGGGTGAACCTGGTGAGGTTGGGGAATTGGCAAAGCTTGCTACAATGCCATGAAGGCCCTTGCTACATTGCATGTGTCCTTTTCGGATGCTTGCACGATGGGGTTTGCGAGTGCCAACGACGAGCCGACAAGCCAGTTGACACAGAGCCAGTACCATGTACAAGTCACGTTTGCCCAGTTGCAAAGCAAACATCAAAGGCTCTTCTACTACAGGTTCGTGATTAGGTAGTGTATGCATTTGGATTCGTCTTGGACCTCCTCAAGCTGCTTGTGGGGCTCAGCTGCCATACTGAGATGGGCTCGGTCCACAACCACCACATGACAGCCGTGGAAGGTGGAAAGCCTGCGTCTCAGTTTTATTTGACATCCCAAGTCATCCCACTATTTGGACTTGGCAAGAATTTCTGCCAACAATGGCCCAACGGTGAAACCGTGGAAAAGCTTTTTCTGTTCCTTCTTTGGAACCAAACATCGATCAGTCGTGGGGCTGGAATTGGGCTCGACTCTCGATTGGGCGGTTTCGGATGGGCCGCTTTCATCCATTTCATCGGCCGTTTCATCGGCCGTTTCATCCGTTTCGCTCGTAAACAGATGTGACAAGCATAGAAGCAAGGGCCAGAGGACGAAACCCAGCAGCGAGGCCCATGTGGCAGCTCGTTGACGAAGTTCCACACTTCTGGGGTCGGAGGATGCCACGATGCCATTTGTAGAGGAAACGATCCTCTTCCCATTCACATTCCTCCCCATGTGATGTTCTGGCCGCTTCTGGCCGTTCACATGTTTGCCCTCCCTGTGAGGGAGGGATCATTTTGAACCAAGGCAAGACTATGAGTCTATCAAGTTCATCAGGGCTGCTCCAGCACCACATGGGAACAAGCCTCGCGACTGCAGAGTCTGGTTGAGATTTGTTTTGCTTCAGATGGAGTCCTGCATGATGACCAGTTCTTCACTCTACTTTCTTCTTGCTTGATGACTGTGCTTTGAATCCCTTTTGACATCCGCGTCCCGCGTGTGCAAGGTTCGAGACGGATTGGCAGAACATCCCTCATATCAAGGTGAGGAAAGACAGCCACACGAGTGGACACACCTGACAGCACAAGTTTATCAGAAAGAAAAGATAGCACAATCCAGGGTTGTTCAACTTCCCCGAGTCGCTGGACATGTTCCTTTTTCTGTCCTTTTCTGTCCTTTTCCGGATCACTCATGTCTTCGTGCCAGGACAGTGTCTTCGTGCGTATCTTGCCGCAGAACTTGGGCAAGAAGAGCTCGAAGATGTCCATGCCAGGGGGCCCGATGTCAACTGCGGATGCCTTTGAATGCGAACGTGGCACCGTTTTGCGGGTGAGTCGCGCCAGTTGTTGAACATCATGGCCCATGGCCATTTGACTACTTGCGTGTGGTTCCCACGCGGTGTTCATCGCTTTTTGTCCCGATGGGCCTCCATGAATCTCAATGATCCAGCAATCAATACTCGCCAGGTGATTCAGCATTCCTTCTTTGACTTTAAGATGTTGTTTCAAAATGGTAGGAGTAGGAGCGATGCATCTGAGCTAGCTGAGTGGGATTTTAGCGAAGAATGGAGATGGGTTCATTCAGCTTCTAATTTTCTTAGAGTGGTGCACGGCAGCGCAAGCAGCATGGCGAACTGGATCTCTCTGGATAAGCCTCTGAACAGCCTTTGGATAAGCCTCTGGACCTCTGCATAAGCCTCTGCATAAGCCTCTGGATACGTCTCTGGATAAGCCTCTGAGTGGTCTTGGTCGACTGCGTGTGGATGTGTGCGCCATGTGCGCGCATGCGGAGAACACAGACCTATAGTGACCCAGCAATTGCCGCAATCAGGTCCGTGCAATTGCCGCAGAATGAGCAGTTCTACGTGACGGACTCCATGTGGGTGAACACCGGAGAGGCATGTTGACAGAATGCTGGGAGGTGAAGAGGTGAAGGTAAGCAATGAAAAGAGAATGGAGGATGGCTTGCCTAGTTATCTAGTTTGGCGCCCAGATTTTGTTGCCCATCCCTTTCAACTGGTGCGTGAACTTCGTGGAGCACGCGGCAAACACCGCAGAAACACATGTCTTTTCTTTCCGCACTCCCTCGCTTCAGACACCGGTCTTCAAGGGCTGTGCGAAGTGCTGGCGATGCTCTGAGCGAAGGTTTTCGGTTGAGAGTTTTGTTATATTTTGTTATCAGTTTTGCTTTGAACTGCTATATAAAACACTTTTCTGGTGATCAACATCACATGTTTTGTTTTTTCTCGGTGAAGCAATACTAATACATACTAATACTATACTATCTTATTCTAGTTACTAGATCAGCTTTATCGAACACAGTGCAGATAGCTGAGGGTTTTGTCAGGTATAGAACACTCCAAATAATAGCTAATTCAATGCAGCTTTCTTCTCTCCTTCACCCTTTTGCCATAGTGCCAAGGTCATTTGTCAAATGGCGACAGGGAGCCCACACCTACCGCTTCAAGGGGCTTAGCCCCTTGGCATCGAGCAGTGGCAATTGAGCTGAAGAGCATGAGTCTCCCCCCCCTCTGTCTTGGGCTGAAGAGCATTTCCCGATCGGGCATTTCCCGGTACCCAGGCTTCACCAACGCCACCAGGAGAATCCAAGTCTACAAGAAGGACAGGGAGGATGTGGTTTGAGACTCGGGGGTGAGCCAGGTGTGCATCGACACAGGGATCATAAATTCTGAACATAGGCTCTCGATAGCACCCTTGACACATCGGCACATACTTTGCGTTTGCTTGCTTTCAGTTCTTGGGTTGGGGTGTAAGCCCTTTTGAAACCGGCTTCGGTTCTCCAGTCTGACTAGGCCGCACCATGCAGAGGTACCAGACAAGATAGATACCAAGATGCTGACTGTATTGCTCACTCAAGAGACTCAAGATCACGGAGAGTTTGGCCCTTGCCCGAACCAGGCCTCCCACAAAGATGTCCTTGTTATCCTTATGTTCAGATTGGTATCCCATTCAATCCCAATCAGATTCCGCAGTCCCTGGTGAGCCCGCTCACCCCAGGACATTTTGTGGGATCTGGACGGCACGCTGACTGGAACTGCAGACTCCTATACGTCCTGGGCAGATGCGCTTCTTGGCCTTGTCGTTTTTGGAACGTAAATTGAAGCTTGAATTCCAAGAAGTGCAAGAAGTAAACACGTGTGCGCATGTGTGCGCATTTTTTTCAGGTTTAACCTGGGACATCCAGACTGTGCCTACACACAGATCACCTACAACACCTCTGAAGATGGCACTCAGACTGAGACGACTTGGTCCTTGCCTGAGCGCTGTTTTTCGCTCAATTCTTTCGACACTGTGACGGTTCTTGGGACATCTCCGGCACAACCGGAGGTGGGGGAATGACTGGGCTTTTAGCAAAGGAACGGACGGCGTTTGGACTTGTCACTGGACAGGTACAGCAGCACTGGAACGACCAGCGATGAGCCTTCCATTTTCTTCAGTGGTGCTGACATCTATCAACATGAAGGTTGGGAAGTCGTCTTTCGATTTTGCGCAAGTTGTTCTTTTCGGCTATGGCTATGACTCTGAACGTGATGTTGGCTGGCTGGCTGTTTGGCTGAGTTGTCATTTGCTGGCGGGTTTGCTGGTGAGGATTTCTCTTTGTGGGGTTTGTGGCTTTGTATGCTGTTCACTTTGCGGCCCAGTTCGGAACCACACCTTCATGACGTGCACGACGCCCATCCGAAAGTTTGGCATTGCATGGCCCGAACCACAGGAGGCTCGAAGCGGGCGGAGATACGATGTGGGCACAGGGAAGACTTGCCGAAAAGTGAGCGATGACTACCACAAAATGCGCGTTCTGTGTAAATAACCATGTCGTGGTTTGCAGAGGGATGGTATTATGTGGTTGGTTTTCTCAGACAACTTTGAATCAGATTTCTTCTCGTCACTCGGAAGCTCGTGTGCTGGGCGGGACCTGGGGATTCACCATGACGGGCCGTGAGGGCCATGTTTGTTCGAACCACTGACCCGCGCTGTGTGGAACAACTGACCCGCCCGGAGCCCGGAGCTGAGCTGCTGGAGCTGCGAGGTGCACTTGCGCCAGCTCACCGTCACGAATCTGGACACGGGGCTCGACGCTGAGAGCTGATTGAATCGTGACTTAGTGGACGACTGGGGTGGACTTGACCTAGGTATGATTCTGGATGATTGTGTTGAACGTGGAAGTCAAGAAGTCTTGGGTGAAGAGCTATTCAGGGTGAAGAACAGACTTGGGACATAAAGATGCGTGACCTGTGGTTCGACGAGACAAGGCTGTTCCAGCAGCACGAGTTCGAAAAGAATGAGATCTTTGGTTGGGGTTTCCCTGCCGCCTTCTCAGAGCTGTTGGACCGTCATCGATGGATGTTTCGCTCGGGAAAAAAGACCGTCATGGATGTTTAAAGACAGTTTGATGGTGCCTGGCCACCAAGCTGGGGATCTCTGGGTCTCACACGCCCCGCTGTCTTGAAGCCTTTCGGGAAGGATCCGTGTTGGAGGCAGACTCCCTGTGGCCAAAAGGCTTCCTTCGTTGTAGTCTTCTGC